CATCCCAGAGATGGGATTGTGGGAGGGGACAGGGTCGGGGCAGGGCCGGTGTTGGGACACCGGGACCACCCCAGACACGCCCCCGCGGGGCTCGGGGGGTGACACGGGCCGTGTCCCCTCAGGTGTCACCTGAGCCTGGGCGGGCACAGCCTGAGCATCCAGACCTTTCCCTGGACCAAATCCACCTACGGCGGCGGCCGGAGGTTCATCGCCACCGCCTACGTGATGTCACCGTGAGGGGACAGCGGGGACAGCCCCCCGCCCCTCCCCGCGCTGCCCCCAGCGCGGATCGGGACTGGTTTGGACTGGTCTGGACTGGTCAGGACTGGTCTGGACTGGTCTGGCTGCGGGACTCGGAGCTGTGGGACCAGCGCAGGGTCTGGAGGGAGCTGGGCAGGACATCGGTGGCCGAGCCCCGTGAGGGGACAGAGGGGACAGAGAGGGACCCTCGAGATCCCCCTGAGAGCTGCAGCCCCCGGGCACGGCAGGAGAGCGGGGAAAGGGAGGGATTTGCCATGGAAAGGGAGGGATTTAACGTGGGAAGGGAGGGATTTGGTGTGGGAAGGGGGGAATTTACCGTGGGAAGGGCGGGATTTGCCGTGGGAAGGGAGGGATTTGCCGTGGGATGGGAGGGATTTGCCGTGGGAAGGGCGGGATTTGATGTGGGAAGGGAGGAATTTGCCGTGGAGAGGGAGGGATTTGCCGCGGGAAGGGCGGGATTTGATGTGGGAAGGGAGGGATTTGCCGTGGAAAGGGAGGGATTTGCCGCGGGAAGGGCGGGATTTTCCATGGAAAGGAGGATCCCGGAGGGAAATAAATGCGGGCTCCGGCCGGAGAAGGGTTTGGTTTCGGTGCAGGAGCTGCTGCTTCCCAAAGGCCAGCCCAGCGCAGCCCCCCCTCCACCGCAGCCCCCCAAAACTCGCCCCTGCCATCCTTCATCCACCCGCGCCCCCGTTTGTCCCCCCAACCCCTCTCTGAGCCCCCCCCAGGCACTGCCCCCCCCCCCCGAGACCCCCGGGCTCCATCCCAGGGGCAGCCCCTCCCCGGGGACCCTCCTGGGGAATTGGGGTCTGGGGGGGGGCTCCTCCCACGTCCCTGCACACCCGGGGGCTCCTCGGGGGCTGCGGGTCCCCAGAGACCCCCCAAGCCCCCCCCACCCAGAGCTGCTCAGGGCTCCGGGGGCTTCTCTCAGCTCTGCACCCCGGGGGGGGGGGGGAACAAAATAGAGCCCGGGGGGGGCAGCGGGATCCCCGGGCGGGCACCCACCGTACCCCCCTCGCTGCCCCGGGGGTCCCACAGCCCTCCCAGTGCCGGGAGAAGACCCCCAGCAACCCCTTCATCCCCCTCGCTGCCCCGGGTGCCCCACAACCCCCCTATTCCCAGGAGAAGACCCCCAGAAGCCACCTCACCCCCCTCACTACTCCGGGGGTCCCACAGCCCCCCCCAGTGCCAGGAGAAGACCCCCAGAACTTCCATCACCCTCCTCGGTTCTCCCGGGGGTCCCACAGCCCTCCCATTCCCAGGAGAAGACCCCCAGCACCTCCATCACCCCCCTCGCTGCCCCTGGGGTCCCACAGCCCCCCTATTCCCAGGAGAAGACCCCCAGCACCCCCCTAGGTGCTGCCGGGGGTCCCACAGCCCCCCAGTGCCACGAGAAGACCCCCCCCATCACCCCCATCACCCCCCAGGGCACCGAGATCCCGCCGCTCCCTCCCCCCTCAGCCCCTTTTCCCGCTCGCTCCCCGCGGATTTGGGGGGTCACCGAGGGGGAGAGGGGAGGACACACAACCACCAGCTGCCCCCCGGCTGCCCCCCGACCCCTCCCCGTGCCCCCGGGGCTGGGGGGGGAAATGTCCCAGGGTGGCAGAGCCGGGAGATCGGAGCTTTCCCGGGAGATCGGAGCTTCCCGGGAGATCGGAGCTTCCCGACAGATGGTCGGGAACCGCAACAGTTCCCGGGGAAGGGCTGGGAGTGCCCGCGCCATCTGCCAGGGGTCACGGGTGACCCCCGAACCCCGCCACGGGGGCGTGTTGGGGCGGGGAGGTGGAGGGATTGGGGGGGCTGGGGGGGGATGCCAGAGGTTGATTTATAGAAATGCGCCGGGAAAAGGGGCAGGGGGAGGTTTGGGGGGGGGTGGGACCGGGGTGGGTGAGGGTCTCCCTGCATCGGCTCCCTCCCGTGGGGGTCTGTGCCCGGGGATGGGGTGGGCCGTGCTCAGGAGAAGACCCCCGGCAGCCCCAGCGCTTCCCAGAGCTCCGGGGGTCCCACAGACCCCCCCATGTCCAGGAGAAGACCCCCCCCAACCCAGAGTTCCCAACCCAGCAGGACAGGGGGACTCCCTGGAGTCCCCGAATCCCTCCCCGTCCTCCTGCCCCGGGGGGGTCCAGCGGCACGGGGGGACCCCCAGGAGTCACCCCCCGTGTGGGGAAAGGAGCCCTGGGGAGTGGGAAGGGCAGGGAGGGGCAGGAAGGGCAGGATCGGGGCGGGGAGGGGGGGCAGGTGCCGGCAAGCTGCCTCCAGCTCCATCTGCTCCCGCCCCGGGGGGGTCTCCAGGGGCCCCCCGGCTCTGCCTGCCGGGGGCTCTCGGGGGGCACCCGGAGCTGCCTCGTCCCCCAGCTGAGCTCGGGTTTGGGAGGGGGGGGTTTGGGCCTCCCTTTGGGGGGTTTCTGGGCTGCCCGGGGGCTTCTGGCACGTAGGGACACTTGAGGGGGGGGCTTTGGAATGTTGGGGTGTCCCCTCGGTCCCCCCGAAGGTCTCACGGGGGGGGGTTAGCCTTGTTTCCCCCTTTTTCCTGTGCTGTGGAACTGGATAGAGGAGGAGGAGGAGGAGGAGGAGGAGGAGGAGGAGGAGGAGGAGGAAGGAGCATCCCTGGAGCATCCCAGGGCCAGGGGAGCTGCCCCGGGCAAGCAGGAGGGATCCTGGAGGGGCAGGAGGGATCCTGGAGACACAGGAGAGATCCCAGAGAAGCAGGAGAGGGCCTGGGCAGGCAGGAGGGATCCTGGGCAGGCAGGAGAGATCCTGGAGGGGCAGGAGAGGTCTTGGAAAGGCAGGAGGGATTCCAGAGAAGCGGGAAAGAGCCTGGGCAGGTGGGAGGGATCCCGGAGAGGCAGGAGGGATCCTGGGCAGGCAGGAGAGTTCTCCCTCGTTTTGAAGGAAGAGTGTGGAATATTCGGGGTCCCGGGTGGAGGAAGACTCTACCCCCCCCATCCCCGCCCCAGCTCCTCCACTGGTTCTTGTCACCCTCAGAAATCCCTTCCCGAGGGATTCTCCCCCCCGGGATTTATCCCGCGGCAGCCGCAGGGTTCCCCCACCAGCTCCGGAGCGAGGATGAGGAGGGTTCCGGCTCCATCGGAGCCCCCCGGAAGGCCGAGCCCGCGGCATTAGACCCTAATCCGGGCGGCCGCGGGGGCCGGGACGCTGAGCGGAGGCTCCTTAATCCCCTCCCGTAACCGATCCGGCTCTAAATGCCCCGATGGGGCCGCGGGCGCATCTGCTCCGGCCCCGCCTCGGCCCCAGAGGATGAGGATGAGGATGAGGATGATGCGGGAGGGGAATTCGCTAAACCATTTATGGCGCGGTCGGAGGGCAGAGCTGCCAGGACGGGATTCCAGCTGGAAGCGCCTCCCGACATCCCTGGAGCGGCACCGCTGGGCTGATCCCGGGAAAAAAACAAACTACCGGCTCTGGATGCGACCACCCCGCCCTTTTTTTGGGGAGCCCGGAGCTTTCAGGGATGAACCCCAGGGATGAATCCCGCGCTCGTGGAGCGGCGGGATGGGGAGGGAGGTGTTTTCCTGCCTCTGGGAACTCCCGGGAGAGGCTCAGGAACCGAGAAAACGACCCCAAGTCCCCCAGTCCCGACACGGCCGGGGGGGCTTTCCGTGAGCAACCAGCGGGCGGGGACCCCCAGGAACATCCCCCCTTCCCACCCCTCTCCCAGCCCCCCGGGAGGGCAGGATTTTGGGAATGGTAAATCCCGCCCGGGAATTTGGGGATGGTAAATCCCGCCCGGGATTTTGGGGATGGTAAATTCCGCCCGGGATTTTGGGGATGGTAAATCCCGCCCGGGATTTTGGGGATGGTAAATTTTGGGGATGGTAAATCCCGCCCGGGATTTTGGGGATGGTAGATCCCGCCCGGGATTCTGGGGATGGTAAATCCCGCCAGGGTTTTGGGGTGGTAAATCCCGCCGGGATTTTGGGGATGGTAAATCCCGACAGGATTCTGGGATGGTAAATCCTGCCGGGATTCTGGGGATGGTAAATCCCGCCCGGGAATTTGGGGATGGTAAATCCCACCGGGATTTTGGGGATGGTAAATCCCGGGCGGGATTTTAGGGATGGTAAATCCCGGGCGGGATTTTGGGATGGTAAATCCTCCCTCGGCAGCGATTTCCCCTGGGATTGGAAGGGGTGGGGGAGAGCAGAGCGGAGCCCCCCCGAGCCCCCCGAGCCGCGCTGGCAGCTGGGCTGGGGGTCCCCCCCGGAGCAGAGGTTAATGAGGGAGCGGGGCCGGGAGCGGCGGCCGTTGGTCCATATGGACACGGCAGCGGGAAAGGGGAGGGGGGGGCGGCACGTGCCGGGGTCCTGCCCGCGTTTTTGGGGAAGGGGGAGGGCAGAGACCCCTCCCCTGCGCAGCCACGATCCCCCCCCGAGGTGCGGGGTGAGGTGGTTGGTGCCCCGATCTGCTGCTCCCGCATCCCGCCCATCCCGGGGATGCTCCCGCTGGGATCAAACCGACACCGCGGGGCAGAACCAGACCCCAAAGTGTCCCCTGTGGGGTCCGACACCCCAAACCTTGTTCCCCGAGAGATCCGACACCCCAAAGTGTCCCCCGAGGCGTCCAACACCCCAAAGTGTCCCCTGAGGCGTCCAACACCCCAAAGTGTTCCCTGAGAGATCCGACACCCCAAACCTTGTCCCCCGAGGGTTCCAACACCCCACAGCACCCAGTTGCGGGCACAGTGAGGACACAGGGTGGGCACTGCATCCGGGGGCATCAGGGTGGGCACGGCCGGGACCCCGGGCACTGCCCCGACCCATCCACGGCTCGGGGTGGGCACATCCCGGATCCTGGCACTGCCCCATCCATGTCTCGGTGCGGGCACATCCCGGATCTCGGGCACTGCCCCTGAAACATCCACGGCTCAGGGGGGGCACATCCCTGTCCCCGGGCACTGAAGGGTGTGGGCACATCCCTGTCCCCAGGGACTGCCCCTGACCCATCCACGGCTCGGG